AAAGGGGAAAAAAACTATAGACCAATTTCCCTAATGAATTTTATGCAAACAAAAATTTAAATAAAATACCAGCAAGGTGATTATAGCAATATATAACAAAGATCATACACTGTGACCCAGGGAGATTTATACCAGGAATGCAGGGCTGGTTTAATATTAGGAAAACTATCAGCATAATAGAACATATCAGTAGCAAAATCAACAAAAATCATATAATTATCTCAACAGATGCAGAAAAACTTTTGACAAAATGCAACATTCCTCCCTACTAAAAACACTAGAAAGCACAGGAATAAATGGAGTTTTCCTTAAAATAAGTAATATCTATCTAAAACCAACAGCCAGCATTATCTATGATGGGGATAAGCTAGAAGCCTTCCCAATGAGGGTGACGTAAGGATATCCATTATCACAACTGCCATTCAATATTGTACTACAAATGCTAGCTATAGCAATAAGACAAGAAAAAGAAGTTGAAGGAATTAGAATAGGCAATAAAGAAATAAAACTGTCAGTCTTTGCAGATGATATGATAGTATACTTGGAAAATCTTAGAGAATTAACTAAAAACTAGTTGAAGCAATTAACTTTATCAAAGTTCCAGGATATAAAATAAACTCACACAAAGCATCAGCATTTCTATATATTGCCAGCAAAGTCCAGCAGCAAGAGATAGAAACAGAAATTACATTTAAAATAACTGCAGAGAATATAAGATACTTGGGAGTCTACCTACCAAGACAAACTTAGAAACTATATGAACACAATTACAAAACAGTTTTCCCACAAATAAAGACAGATATAAACAATTGGAGAAATATTCATTGTTCATCAGTAGGTCAAGACAACATAGTAAAAAATAACAATCCCACCTATACTAATTTACTCGTTCAGTGCCATACCAATCAAATTACCAAAAAAATTAGTAGAGCTAGGAAAAAATAATAATAAAATTCATCTAGAAGAACAAAAAGTCAAGAATATCAAAGGAATCAATGAAAAGAAAATGTGAAGGAAGGTGGTCTAGCAGGACCAGATTTCAAACTGTGTTACAAAATGGTGATCATGAAAACAATCTGGTGCTGACTAAGAAATAGAGTGGTGCATCAGTGGAATAGATTAAGTACACAATTCACAGTAGTAAATGTCATCTAATATTTGATTAAACCCAAAGCTACAAGCTTTTAGGACAAGGACTTGCTGTTTGACAAAAATTGCTGGGAAAACTAGAAATCACTTGGGCAGAAGGTAGGTGTAAACCAACATTTCACACCTATACCAAAGTAAGATCAAAATGGGTGCAAGACTTAGACATAAAGGGTGATATCATAAGCAAATTAGGGGAGCATGGAATAGTTTACCTGCTAGATCTACGGATGAGCAAAGAATTTATTACTGAAGAAGAGAGAGGATCACAGTAAGTAAAATGGATAATTTTGATTACATTAAATTTAAAAGGTTTTGCACAAATTAGACCAATTCAGCCAACATGAGAAAGAAAGCAGGAAACTGGAGGAAAATTTTACATTAAGTTTCTCAAATAAAGGCCTCATTTCTCAAATATAGAGAGAACTCAGTCAAATTTATTTTTTAAAAAGGACTCTTCCCCAGTTGATAAATGGTCAAAAATATGAACAAGAAGTTTTCAGAAGAAGAAATCAAAGTTATCTCTAGTCATCTGAAAAAAAATTTCCAAATCACTATTTATTAGAGAAATAAAAATTAAAACTCTGAGTTACCACTTCATAACTATAAGATTGACTAACATGACAGAAAAGGAAAGTAAGCAATGTTGGCAGGAATGGGGAAATTAGGGACATTAGTGCACTACTGGTGGAGTTGTGAAGTGATCCAACCATTCTGGAGAACAATTTGGAACTATGCCCCAAAGGCTACAAAACCATCCCTATCTTTTGACCCAGGAATACCACTACTAGGTCTATATCCTAAAAAGATCAAACAAAAAGGAAAAGAACCTATATATATATAGAAATATTTTATAGCAGCACTTTTTGTGGGAGCAAAAAATTGGAAACTGAGGGGATGTCTATCAATTGGAGAATACCTGAACAAGTTGTGGTACGTAATTGTGATGGTATACTATTAGAAATGATAAACAGAATGGTTTCAGAAAAACCTAGGAAGACTTATAGTAACTGATGGAAAGTGAAATGAACAGAACCAAGGAAACATTGTGCATCAGTAATAACATCAGTAGTAACAGCAATATTGTATGATGATCAACTATGAATAACTTAGCTCTTCTATCATGACCATGGTTCAAGACAATTCCAAAGGATTCATGATGAAAAATGCTATTTACCTCCAGAGAAAGAAGTGATTAACCCTGAATGCAGATTGAAACATATTTTTAAACTTTATTTTTCTTGCTTTTTTGGTAACATGGCTACTGTGGAAACATGTTTCACGTGTATAATTGATATATTTCTTGCCTTCTTAATGATTGGGGGAGGGGCGGGATCTCTTTGAGATTTCTTTGAGCTTTGAGAATATAGGATTCTTTTTTCCCCTCTAATTTATTAACCATTTTTGACCATTCACTTAAAAAAAATAATATCATATCCTTTAACCATTTATCAACTGGGGAATGGTCCATAGTTTTATAAATTTGAATAATTTCTCAATGCTGAATAAAGTAAGCAGAACCAGGAGAACATTGTACACAGTAACAGCAATAATGTGTGATAATCAACTGTGATTGACTTAGCTCTTCTTAGCAATACAATGATCTGAGACAATTCTAAAAGTCTTATAATGGAAAATGCTGTCCACATCCAGAGAAAGAACTATAGAGTCTGAATGCAGATCAAAGAATATTATTTACACATTTTTTTTGTTTTTCACGGCTTTTCCCTTTTGTTCTATTTCTCTTTCACAACATGACTAATACAGAAATATGTTTGCATGACTGCACAAGTATAACCTATATTAAATAGTTTGCTATATTGGGGAGAGGACACTGGAGGGAGGGAGAAAAAATTTGGAACTCAAAATTTTATAAACAATGAACTTTGAAAACTATCTTTACATGTAATTGGAAGAAATACTATTTCCAAAAAAAAATTTGTATCAGTTTTCTAAATATTTGAGAAATGAGGCCTTTATCAGAGAAATTTGCTATGAAATTTTTCCTCCAGTTTCCTGCTTTCCTTCGAATCTCAAAGAGAATCCTATACTCTTAGAGCTCAAAGAGATCACAAATCGTCTTGTCCAAAAGTTTTTAACCTTTTTTACGTCCAGGACCCCTTTGCCAGTCTGGTGAAGCCTATAGGTCCCTTCTCGGAATTGTGTTTTTTAATGCATTAAAAAAAACTTACATAGGATTACAAAGGAAACCAATTATATTGAAATACAATTAGCTAAATATTTTTTCAACAAGTTCCCGGGACCCTGGGTAAGAACCCTTGATCTAGTCCAAGTACCCTATTTTACAGAGGAGAAAAAGGCAGAGTATAAAAGCACCATTCCCAAGGTCCCCCAGTACTTTCATGGCTGAGACAGTACTAGAAGGTAGGCATCTCGCCTCCCAGATGTTTTTCCCTGACACTCAATGACTTGCTTATCATTGTACACCTCTGACTGTTAACAAGGAATACAAGGTAGGGTTGTCAGAATAGATAACAGATAGCATGCCGGGAATCTAGATCAGATCTACCCACAGCTTTGTTTTAAGGGAAGAAGAGGTGCAAGGAGAAGTTAAAGGTCTCTTGGTCAAGGTTGGGGTAGAGGTGGGGAGAAAGTCAAGATGCCGTTCAGCTTATCCTCCCTAGCCTTCAGTAACCCCATCTGTAAAATGAAAGTGTTTGACAAGATGGCAACAGAGTTCTAGCTGTGATTTTATGGAATATTGGTTTTGCTATTTATTATCTGCCTGGCCTTGTGCAAGTTACTTCCCTGTCCAAGCCCCCATTCCCTTATCACCAAATAAAGTGTTGGACTAGACTAAGGGATCCCTAAGGTCCCTTCTGGTTTAAAATCCTATAACTAAGAGAGAGAGAGAGAGAGAGAGAGAGAGAGAGAGAGAGAGAGAGAGAGAGAGAGAGAGAGAGAGAGAGAGAGAGAGAGAGAGAAAGAGAGAGAGACAGAGAGAGAGAGAGAGGGAGGGAGGGAGGGAGGGAGGGAGGAGAGAGGGACGGAGGGAGGGAGGAAGGAAGGAAGGAAGGAAGGAGGAAGAAGAAGGAAGGAAGGAAGAGAGAAAGAAAGAAAGGAAAGAAAGAAAGAAAGAAAGAAAGAAAGAAAGAAAGAAAGAAAGAAAGAAAGAAAGAAACCAATATAACCCAGAGTTTAGAAGAATAAAGCAGGGAAGAACTGTGTATGCATCATAACTATTAACTTATACCTACTGGATTCAGAGCACGATGTTCATTTCAAGTCAAGTCAACAAGTATTTATTAAGCACCTACCATATTCCAGGCACTGTGCTAAGTTCTGAGTATGCAAATACAGGAAAAAACAGTCCCTGCCCTCAAGGAGCTCACATTCTAATAGGAGAGACAACACACAAACAACTCTGGGCAAACAGGACGTGTGTGTGTGTGTGTGTGTGTGTGTGTGTGTGTGTGTGTGTGTGTGATATGATAAATACACACATATACATATACATGTATATACATATATATATATATATATATATATATATATATATATATATATATATATATATATATATATATATATATATGGATAATCTCAGAAGGAAGACACTGGCATTAAAGGGTACCAGGAAAGATGTCCTGCAGAAAGTACGATTTTAGCTGAAACTTGAAGAAAGCCAGGGAAGCCAAGAAGTAAAAATAGAGAGAGAGCATTTCAGGGAAGAGAAACAGTCAGTAAAAAAACAGACAGTCAGGAGATGGGAGGGTAATGTATAGTGATGTGCTGGTAAATGTTTAACAACTGTCTCTCTGAAAAAAAAAGTAAGCAAGACTTACCTTAAATTCCATCGCTATGATTAAATGTCTCTCCATCACTTTCTTAAGTCTAGACAATCAGCAAAGTTCTGGACCAAGTCCTGATTTCAAGCATGTGCCCATTTGCCAGGTGTAAATATTCACAAGGAAAATGTAACAACTAACTGACTGAGCTGCCTCCAGCACATCCCTGGCTGCGTGCAAGGAAAGGCAGGTAGGCCAATGTGGATAAATCTTAGAATAAGAGGAGTCAATGGAAAATGTTGGAATTAGTACCTTAGAATAAGGTGGCAGATGACTGGAAAGGTAGGAAGGGGGCCAGGTTGTGAAAAGATTGAAAATCCACAGAGAGGATTTTATATTTGATCTTAAAGATAAAATCCTTTGATTCTTCTCTAAGGGAGGCTGGACAATTGCTGTTCCATATCTAGCTCCTAAAAATTAGTGTCATTTGAGGAAAATGTCATTATTACATGGCGTAATGGCTAGGGGCAGCTAAGTGGCCCAGTGGATAGAGGGCTGGTCCTGATATCAAGAAGATGAAGGCCAAATCTGGCCTCAGACACTTACTTGCTGTGTGACTCTGAGCAAGTCACTTAACTCTGTTTGCCTCAGTTTCATCATCTGTAAAATGAGCTGGAGAAGGAAATGGCAAACCACTCTGCCAAGTATCTTTGCCAAGAAAACCCCAAATGGGGTCATGGAGAGTCAGACAAGACTGAAACAACGGAACAACAATGACTTTAGAGTGCTGGATTTGAAGCCAAGAAGACATTTTTATTAGAAGGGGAGAAAGACACCTGACATCTCTTGACCTCAATTACCTCATCTGTAAAATGAGGATAATATAGTACTTACCTCACAAGGTTGTTGGGAGAATCAAATCACCCTGCAAGTATTCATTAAGTGCTTACTATGTGTCGGGCACTTGCTATGCTCTAAGGACACAAAGAAAGGCAAAAAAGAGACATCTTGCCCTCAAGGAGTCCATATTCTAATGAGAGATGCTTTGAAAACCTTAGAACACAACATAAATGTCAATAATTGCAAGGCAATTTGAATGCTTTGCGGAATTTACTTGAATGAGCTTTTGCCTGTAATTTTATGCAAATGGCTGTTTGGTTCACACAGTGAGGTTAGGAACACTTTCCAGGATCTGGATGAGAATTCCTGGCCAACTCATTGGCACAGATCCACTAAACATCTTCAACATTTCAGCTATTTTGAAAAAATAACTCATCGCCTCCTGAATCAAATCTGCTCCAGTCTAAGCCTTTTAGCTCTTTGTTGTCTTCTTACTACTCAAGAGGCTCAATGAGGGGCTTGAATGGATGACATGAAGTCAATGACTGAATCATCATCAGTCCTGCTCCCCTTTTGTAACAATCAATTTGTTCTTAATAACAGGATCACCACCACCACCACTGTCATCATCATCTTCCATTTCTCCTCCTACTCTAATGTCTCACTGCAGCATTAAGATGACCGTGGGCTCTCCAAGGCTATGCCAGCAGAGAAAGGGCCCTTGCACATCCTGCCTAACTCAAGGACTTTGGACATACTCTAGTGATGAGCAGCACGCCTCTTGGCCAATCACCAGCCTAGCTAAGGTCAGAGAGGCTGATTACCAAATTGGCAGCAGAGCAATCAGTTCTACCAAGGAAACTTCTGAAGACCATGACCAAGGTGTAGAGGGGTGGGATCTGCCTTAGTATGTATGGGGGGGGGTGAGGAACAGCCATACCATAAATGAAATTATAGCTCAATGAAAAACTGAAGAAAGCATTGGATTTAATTTGCTGTTTTTACCCAAATCAGACCTAGGATTTCACTGTCATGAGGAACTCTCAGTATGGAAACTCTCATCATCAGTACAGATAGGCAACTCCTCTATATCGTCTAGGAAAGCCAACTGGACCTCCTTTCTTTCTTTGCAGAAGTAGAGGGACTGTGGTTGTGGAACATCACATGTAATGTCAGATTTTGTTGATGTGTTTGTTAATTTTGCTGAACTGGCTTTTCTCTCTCTCTCTCTTTTTTGTCTTTGTTCTATTATTCAGTCAACAGGCAGCAGTACCAATCAACCCATGAGCCTTCTCAATTAAATGTTTTTCATTTATCAAGCATTTATTTTTTCCTCCCTCCTACCTTCCCTTCTAACAAAAGGAGAAGGAGGAAGAAGAGGAGAAGAAGAGGGAAGAAGAGAACAAGAACAAGAGGAGGAGGAGGAGGAGGAGAAGGAGAAGAAGGAGGAGGAGAAGAAAGAGAAGGAGGAGAAGAAAGAGAAGGAGAAGGAGGAGAAGAAGGAGGAGGAGGAGGAAGAGGAGGAGGAGAAGAAAGAGAAGGAGGAGAAGAAAGAGAAGGAGAAGGAGGAGAAGAGGAGAAGGAGGAGGAGGAGGAAGAGGTGGAGGAGGAGGAGGAGAAGAAGGAGGAGGAGGAAGAGAAAAAAGAGGAGGAGAAGAAAGAGAAGGAAGGAGAAGAGGAGGAGGACAAGAAGGAGGAGGAGGAGGAAGAGGAGGAGGAGAAGAAAGAGAAGGAGGAGAAGAAAGAGAAGGAGAAGGAGGAGAAGAGGAGAAGGAGGAGGAGGAGGAAGAGGTGGAGGAGGAGGAGGAGAAGAAGGAGGAGGAGGAAGAGAAAAAAGAGGAGGAGAAGAAAGAGAAGGAGAAGGAGAAGAGGAGGAGGAGAAGAAGGAGGAGGAGAAGGAGGAGGAGAAGAAGGAGAAGGAGGAGAAGAAAGAGAAGGAGAAGGAGGAGAAGAGGAGGAGGAGGAGGAGAAGGAGGAGGAGAAAGAGAAGGAGAAGGAGGAGAAGAGGAGGAGGAGGAGGAAGAGGAGGAGAAGAAGAAGGAAAAAGAGAAGAAGGAGGAGAAAAAAGAGAAGAAGGAGAAGAGGAGGAAGAAAAAGAAAACCCTTGTAACAAATGTGTATAGTCAAGCAAAACAAATTCCCATACAGGCTGTGTCCAAAAATATAAATCTTATTCTGTATATTAGTCCATCACCTCTCTGTCAAGAAGCAGGTAGTATGTTTCATTATTGGTCTTTTTGAATCCTGGTTGGTCATTGCATTAATTGGAGTTCTTAGCTCTTTCAAACTTGTTCATTTTTTTTAAAAATGTTCAACAAACATTATTACTAAGCACCTACTATGTGTCAGGCACTGGGGATACAGATAGAAAGGATGAAACAGTTCCCACTCTTAAGAAGCTTAAATTAATCATACGTGCATATGTACATATAAATATGTACAAAATATTTAAATACCAAATAAATACAAGATAGAAAATGAGGACATCAGCAGGTGAAGGGATAGTGATGTCAGCATCAGGAAAGACTTAGAATAGAAAGTAGTGTTTGAGCTGCATCTTAAAGGACTTAAAAGACACAGAGACCACAGATGGAGTACTGGGAGTGGGAAACAGAGAAAAGATCAGTTGGTTAAAAAGTATGACTCTTTTAATGGAGGTGAGAGAAAATATATGTTGAGAAATGTAAGTGAGATTAACTTTTTTAAAAAGATACCAATAAAGTTGTTATTTATTAAATTAAATTAAATTAAAGTTGTTGTTGATGCTGCTATTATAAAGAAACAGTTGCCTAGAATCCTGAGGAGTCAGAGATGAGGAAGGAGAGTGACATAGGCATGAAGGACAACAACCGTATAGTGCCTTATTATTGCCCCCACCTTTTCATGAATGAAGAAACTGAGACTCTAAAAAGTAGAGTGGCTCGCTTAAGGTCACAGAGCTGGAACTAGAAACCAAAGCTTTAGATTCCAAGTCATCATAGCTACTTCTCATGAGTTCCCTTTGCCCTCTTTATAAACAGGGATTACAGTCAGAGAGAGAAGATTGAGGATGAAGGGGGCAGAAACCAATGGCTGAGTCACAGTTAAAACTCAAAGAATGGAAGGATTAAAAACCAAGAAGAAACTTCCATTTGAGGCTAAACCCACATGTAGCTACTGAGCATGCTTAGTGAAGGTATGTGGTAAAGCCACCATGGCGTCCACACCACTTCTGGTTTGAAAAATGGTGAAAAATAGAAGCATCAGCCAGGAGAATCAGGTTTTCCTATGACATAACCAAAAGAAAATGTTCTCTCATAGGATGTCAGAGCTAGAAGGAAGCTTAGGGCTCAGAGGATCATAGATTTGGAGCTGGAAGAGACTTGAAAATCATCTAATGAAAGCTTCTTAATTTTACAAATAAAGTAACCAAGTGGAAGTGACCAACTCAAAGACACATAGTCCATCAGTCACAAAGCCAGGATTCAATCTCTAATCCTCTGACTCCAGACCCAGAATTCTTTTCTCTGTACCAAGTATAACTCCCTTTACAGATCAGGAAACTGACTGCCTCAGTTTCCTCAATTGTAAAGTAGAAATGAGACGTCCTTTCCCCTGGGTTGATGTGAGGATCAAATGAGGTATTTGTGAGGTTCTTAGAATAGTGCCTGGCACATAGTAGGCACTTAATAAATTCTTGTTCCCTTCCTTTCTATAATCTAGTCAAACTGGACTAGTCACTGTCTCCTAGACACACCCCATATTTTCCAGCTTCTACCTTTGTCCATGCCCTCCCCTATGCTATATGCTCTCCTCTATGTTCCCTCTCATCTCCACCTGTTGAAAGCCCATCTGACCTTCAAGATTCATCTCAAATGCTATTGTTCCTTCCCTGATCCTTTCCTTCTCTTCAGTAATTATTATCCCTTTCTCAATTCTCACACAGAATCTGGCTTACACATCTTTTATCATATCCCATTTCATATTCTAGTTCCTTGTGTGTATGTTGTATCCACTTCCATTCAGTTGGAAGTTCCTTAAAGGCAGAGGAAAGGTCTTATCCATCTTTGCATTCCCCCAGTGCCTAACATAATGATGATGATGATGATGATAATGATGATAACAACAATGATGATGATGACGATGATGATGATGACAATGATGATGATAACAATGATGATGATGATGATGATGATGATGATGATGATGGCAGCTCATGATTCCATAGTATGATGCTTTGCAGATAATAGGTATACAGTTCGTTTCAACAAATATTTATTGAATTGGATAGAATTCGAGACAGAAGCTCTCTGTTTGCATACAGCCACCTCTCCAACTACAGCCCAGGTATCCTGACTTCCAGCAGAGAGTTCTTTAGGTTTTTCCCCTGTGCCCCACTGCTTCTTACCAGATCTCTGAATCCCCTCACCCTGAGGAACTGAGATGGTGGTGGCTGCAGACTACTCTGGATCCTAGTATGTGTTCAGGGTCTGACGCCTGACAAATCTATGACCCATATCGCCCCTACTCAATAAACTCCAAAGCCTCTCATTTACCTCCACAATCAAATACAAAGTCTTCTATTTAACTTTAAATGTCTTTCACTACTCTCCTCCTTCCTACCTTTCCAGTCTTCTTCCAGTTTACTCCTCCCCTTATAGTCTAAAGCCCAACAACCCTGGCCTTTTTGCTGTTCCTCATACACATCACTCCATTTCCAAACCCCATGCTTTGCACTGGCTGTCCTTTATGCCTGGAATCCACTGCCTCCTCACCTCCACCTCTTGGCTTTCCTGGCTTCCTTCAACACTCAATTTGAATCCCACCTTCTGCAGGAAGTAGGACTCCCCTCCCCGACTAGTACTTTTCCTCTGAGACTACTTTCTACCATATTTATATATAAAAGTTTACTTGTTGTCATTAAACTGTAAGCAATTTGAGGGCAAGGGCCACATTTTTGCCTTTCTTTGTATCCCTGGTTATCCCTTAATAAATACTTGTTGACTTAACTGACTGACTATGCTTCAGACAACATAAAGGTAGTATCTCTTTAAGACTCAGAAGGTTTGTGTTTTAGCATTAGCAGAGACATACAAATCAGAGCAGCAACATTCATGATCCTGTGAATTTCTAATGCCCAGTGGTGTAAAAGAAAGATCAATGATTTCAGGTTCTGATGACCTGAAGGAAAACCTGAACTCTACCACTCACCATGACCATGGGCAAGTTGCCACATCTCTCTGAGCTTCATCTGTCTCATCTCTAAAGTGTTGAGGCTGGACCAGAATCCTCCTTTATGGCTACCAATTCTACCATCTTATTTGAAAATAACATACAGAGAGAAAGTAACAGAAGGTTACAGAAGGTAACAAACATTGCAGAGAGAAAGAGGTAGTATGATGGTCAAATATGAAGACTGATTTGTGAGATGTCCTAGGGCACCTGCATCCAATCAAACGTAGCATTTGTGGCTCCATCTGATTGCAGAGGAAAGAGACCATCCCACAAAATCCTTAGGGTACCCACCTACCTTGAAGGGATATGTAGCCTGCCTGGCCCTAAAAGAATAGGGCTAGAAGATATTTGTTACATTCCTAACAACGAAAACAGCCTGAAAGTGGACTGCTTTGAAAAGCAATGAGTTTTCCGTCACAGGGAGTCTTCAAGTAAGACCTAAATGACCACTTGTCAGGGCAAATGTCTGAGGAAGGATTTGAACTCAGGTCTTCCTGACTCCAAGTCTAGCACTCTATCCACTGCACCACCTGAAATGTTAGGGGAGGGAAAAGGATATTTTAAATATTTTTAATATTTTTTAAATATTCAGAAGAGGGCAGAAAAAATTCAAAAAGAAACAGAGAAGCAAGACTGTGTTTGCACTACCGTGTTAATTTTACTACATAATTTTTTTAAATTGTGCATAATAGAGGCTCATGGTTTCATAGACAATCTTCTTGTCTATTCTTCTTTTTACACGTTCCTTTTTGTTGATGTTTGTCAAGTTCATAATAAAGATAGTTCCATTTTGTTTTGTTTTGTTTTGTTTTGTTTTGTTTTGTTTTGTTTTGTTTTGTTTAAGGACCTTGGCATTTCCTAAATCCATTTATTCTGAGATTTGCCAAACCACTCATCCCTGGAGCCTTCCCCACACTATACTCAAGCACGGAGTAACAAGATCTGTCCCTCACTTATGTCCATCCTGTGAGGTTCCAGGCTCAAGTGGTCAGTTTAATACATATTCTCACAGTGCAGTGAGACTGTGCCAGCAGGATGGGGCAACAGCAGCAGCAGCAGCAACTTCTGCAAAGAATAGAAGAAATATTCAGATAAAGAAGATGAATATGGGAGCAACTAGTGTAGAAAAGGAAACTATGTTGCCTATTAGCTGTCAGGAGCAACCTGAGAGTAGGTGAGAGAGGATAATTAATGATGATAATAATAATAATAGCTGGCATTTATATACTGCTTTAAGATTTGTTTCAAAAAAATAATACATTTCATCCTCATGGTAATCCAAGGAGGGTGCGGCTATTATTATTCCCATTTTATAGTTGAGGAAACTGAGGCAGACGAAGGTTGAGTGACTTGCCCAGGGTTACGCAGCTAATAAATGTCTGAGGCTAGATTTAAACTCAGCTCCAACACTCTACTGTGCTACCTAGTACCTTCTAAAGAGGACCTCTTTCTTTGATCGAAACAGTGGAAAGCAACAGGACACAGAGAAGATATTCAGATACTGCATGAAGAGGTCCTCCCAACTTTTGGTCTAGCCACACAGGAGTCATCTGTAATGTTCTCCCCATGTTGTCACTTCGGTCTTAGAAGAGATGGCTTTCCCCACTGTGGACCCAGAGATAAAACCCTAATCCCCAGAGTATGTGTATTGAAAGTACTTTCTTATTCCTTTACTAATTGTTTTACTTTCACAATACGTTTTTCCTTTTCTGTTCTCTTAGCCGTTTTGAGCTGAGTTTAGATGACCTCAGAAGTTCCCAAATGAATCTGAGCCCCCTAAGGTACACTTATTATCCTATAGATTCCTCACTGAGTCCAATATTTTATTCAAACCCAGGCTTCACCGAGTCATAGAATCACAGATTTAAAGCTGTAAGAGATCTTTTAGACCTTTTAGACTAGTTGAACCCCCTTATTTTACAGATAAGAAAACTGAGGCCCAGAGAGATTAAGAGGTCAGATAGTAAATTATAAAGTAGTATGTCGGCTACCTGAGCCTCTTAAGAGGAAGTAAAACATGGAGCTAGGGGAGAGGAGTGGCTGCCATCGAAGTTTGACATTTCAGATTATGATAATTCTTAAATGAAAAAGACATACACCTTCTTCTAATTTCCATATAACTCAAGACCATCTGTTTATGAATTTAACTCAGATTTTCCAAATGGGAACTTACATTTAGATGGAACCCAAATACATAATTCAGAATAATAGGGATTTTTTTTTTAAGAAAATTCTGAGCAACTGGAAAAACGTGGTTTTTAATGGAAATCTCTTTTCAGCCATGACTACATCACCACCCAAGATCAAACCCATCAAGAGGAAATGCCATGTTAACCTCAAAACAAAGAGGAAGATGGGCAACAAATAACTTTCTCAGGATTATGTGGCAAGTATTCAGAAGGAGAGAGTTCTTAAGCAGCCATCTCAGCTAAGGGGATAAAGTGAAACAGATTTGAAGCAGAGTGCACAGTCAGAGGAGGGGGCAAGGGTTGTCAGGACAGACAGAAAGAAAGAAGTGGCTTGTGACTTAACCCAGATGAAGCCTGGTTGAGACTGAAATGAGACTAAGCAAACTACTAATGCCTTTCCCTCTCCATGGCCTTCCATCTAGTCTTTACATACATCTTGAATGTACCTAGCTTTTTCTGTTATCTCTCCCGTTAGAAAATAAGTTCCTTGAGGGCAGGACTAGGAGATTTTTTTGTATTTCTTTGAATCCCCAGCACTTAGCCCAGTGCCAGACACATAACAAGCATTTAATACATGCTTATTGACTGACTGACTGTTAGAACAAATTACAGCCACCATTTTTGTCCTAAGAGTTCTCATTCTATCGTGCCAAAGGACTCCTCTCTGAGGCAGCCCTCCACTTAGGCATGGAGATCTTTAATGCTATGCTAGTAGACTACAAATTCTCTTAGGTCCTACCAGTCTGCAAAGGCTTCAAATACAGGCCTAGGCATTTCATCGATTTGCTTCATATTGGAAAAACTCATCACAAAAGAATTGGCGATAAAATTTTCAGGCCACAATGACCCCTTGGAGGCTCAGGTATGCTCCAGCAATGGGAACACCTACACCGATGAAATCACAGGTTCTTGAAGCATCAAAGAAATGACTTTTTAGGTAGTTACTTTTCGTGATACATACCTTAGAAATGAACAATGTGAAAAGCAGTTGAAGTGATGAATTAGCCTGGTTTGATGGGAAAGAGACTGTTCTGAAAAAGCAACAGAATAGTGAAAGACCTCAATTCCCTGCCGTATTCAAATCTGCTAAAGGCACTAGCAACGTTTATCCTGGAAAAGACTCAGGGGAAAAGGATAACTTTCTTCAAGTCTGAAGGGCTATTACCTGGAAGATGGAATAGGTTTACTCTGATTGACTGTTGAGGGCACAACTAGCAACTGTGGATAAGAATTGCGAAGGGTTAAATTTCAGATTATTGTGAAGAAAAATTCCCTGGTAATTAGAAATGATGCAAAAGTGGAATGGGCTGCTTCAGGAGATAGTGGGCTAAAGGTTTAAAAAAAAATTCCAAATGTCCTGGCAGCTCTAGACACCCACACCCTGAGTAGGGGAAGTGCATTTCCCACTAACTTTCTGCTTGAAGGAAAGGCAGCACGCTGGCTTATGTCACCTGAGTGTCAAGTGTTCCATTGGTAAGGGAGAATAAAGAATAAGCTTGCTATCGTTGACTGGGGGTCACCCCAAAATTGCTCAGTCCTACAGAAATCTATCCATTGTGGTTTTGCAGTGGAGTTCTGAAAATGACAACACCTTCGTAATCTGGAGTTGTCATCACCCTGGAACTCCCCATTACCGAGTATGGAAGGAGGCTCTTAGAAAGTCTTTAGACGTAATCTGAACGGTGCTGGTGACCCTGTGGGTTCAGCCACTAATTTCACCCTTATGACCAAAACTGGGAAGCTGCTTTTAACAATTACAGAGGAAACCTGGATCACTGACAAAATGGAATTACATACAGGGAGATGATTTATCCAAGGTAACACAAGCTAGTTGTGTTTTCTATATTATACTCCTCATATCAATGTATAAAGAAGGGCAATGTTGTATCTATTCCCCCAATGTACCTTAAGTCTATGTCAATAAATGAACTGCAAATAGTGGACAAGAGCCAGGTAAGAAAATAATGCATTGTCTAGAAACATAGTAAGATGGAGGCTAACTTGGGTCCAAAACCATCGATTGTGTTTTATCATGGAAGCTGATGGCTTCTTATTGATGGGTCATGTTATGGTCTTTTTAGAGGGTTTTTTATAAGGAAGTGATTAGCTTTGATTTTGATGATTTTAAATCCAACTTTACCTTATATTAAAATTGGCGAAACAAAGATGCAGAGGAGGAAAATGATTTATTTTAGGTTGTCATACATTGACGTACATTGAGTTCATCGCCAAAGTTTAATCTTTCTAAGCCTCAATTTCCTAACTTGTAATAATAGTACTACCCACCTAGATCCAGATGGCTCTGAAGGAGAGAATGAGGATGGTGATTTTACACAGCCCTCCCTCATTTAAATCCAATCCACTTGCAAGTCATAACATCACCTTCAATATGTCATGGTCCTCTTCGAGAGCAAAGGACGAACAAAAACAACAGTAACCTACCTCAGAAAGCTTTTGTAAGGATTAAATGAGATAATATACACAAAATGCTTCGCAAACCTTAAAGCACTATTACGTATTGTCAATAAATTATCAATTAAATCAGGAAACCATCAAAATATTGATATACTACTAAGAGTGCAAATGCTATTATGTGATGGACCAGTGATGCTTCTTTTATTTTTATTTTTCATATTCATTTTTGAGTTCTAAATTCTCTCCCTCTTTCCTTTCCTTTCCCCACCCATTGAAAAGACAAACAAAATGATATTAATTATACATGTGAAGTTATGCAAAACATTTCCATATTAGCCATGTTGCCAAAAAAAAGGCAAGAAAAATAAAGCAGAAAAATTATGCTTTAATCTGCACTCAGAGTTTATCAGTTCTCTCTCTGTAGGTGGAGAGAATTTTTCACCTGTCGTGTTTTTGAACACTAAGAAGGATTCCACATATCTGACCAGTATATTAAACAGTTTCTAAAGCAACTTCAGCTTTGTGAGTCTGTCATCCTATGATTTGCATGAAACACAGAGAAAGCATGTCTTTTCCAATCCATCCAAAAAAAACTGAGAAGAACAATTAATGAATTGGATTACAGAAGCAAGATTCAAAAATATGTCCACAGACTGAGATGCTAGGTCAAAACCAACAGAATAAAACTTAACAGATTTTTTCAAAGCTTTAAATAAAGCTAGAAATCACTGTCACAAGAGGAGGAGAAGTACAAAAGAGTCTAGGAGATCTAATGAGGAGCACATTGGGTGGCACAGAGGAGAGAGGGCTAACCCTGCCATTGGGAAGACCTGAGTTCAAATCTGGCCTCAGACACTTACTAGCTGTGTGGGCAAGTCACTTAACCCTGTTTGCCTCAGTTTCCTCATCTGTCAAATGATCTGGAGAAGGAAATAGCAAACCACTCCAGTATATTTGCCAAGAAAACCCCAAATGGGTTCACAAAGAGTTGGACACAGCTGAAAAAACAACAAAATAACAACAAAAAGAGCCCTTTCCACCAGTGATGCCTCAGTCCAAAAGAACAGGGCAACTAAAGGGGACATAAGGATACCCACAAGCCACATATTGACTTAGAAAACCATAAATTAATATTGTCTATATTTTATTGTGTTTATAATTGTTTCACTATTTAATGAACATTATATTCAATATAATATTAAATGAATGTTATTAAATATTCAATGAATATTATTCAATACTCATCAAATGTTTCCCAATTACATTTGTCTAGATCTGGAAGCAGTAGGGAGCATAGCCAGCTTGTATGCAGACAGCAAGTAGTACGTCGGACACTTCTGCTTTTCATGAGGCCAAACTGCCTCCTCCCCACCCTGCCAGGCTGTTATAGTTACATGAAGAAATCTATCATGAGAAAAACCACCATAAGAGACAGGATATGAAGCCATTCTGAATCAGTAGAGAGCCTGAGAGATGCTTTCTCTCCAATCAAATATGTCATCCATTCACCATCCAGACCTGTGCAGTTTGTCAGTCTCACTTTTTACTCAGCCTCACAAGAGCTGTTCTGTTACAGGCTTAAAGTTTCCACCTGAACACCCAGTGCTTTTTCCCATAGCCACCATGGCCCTTCACTTCTTAAGTCCTTTCCCATACATAATGCCAGGATCTTCTTGGGTCCGACCAGTTCCAAGAGAGTTTCCAGACCAGGAACCCGTCCCTCATCCCTATCTGCAGCCTGTAATCCCTACAGGGCATGCCTTCATTTGGGCTCAGAGGATAAATATTGAACATCACACATTCTGTGGTTGACTGAGAAAGAGGAACTGAGAGAGGGTACTCAGAAAAGAGCCTTTTATGGGCTCAGCTCAGAACTCCCAATAACTCCATGTCTTCTTTCTTTTGCAGTTCTATCAAATTGTCCAAGAGCTACTCCAGGCAAAATGTGGAAACAGATCCTGAAGTTAGTGTTCATTCTGCATCTGGGGAAAAGGGATAAAATGTGTTTGCTGCTAAGTAATCAATCAATAAGCATTTATGTGCACCGACTATGTGCCAGGCACTGTGCAAGACACTGGAGATACTAACTCAAATAATTAATGGAAATAATACAAAGAATGAAATAATACGGACTGTCAAGGAGCTTACAATTGAAAAAATGCAGGAGTTTCTCTGAGAATATGTACACTGAATAAAGGGGGATCCTTAAAGTATGAAAAGCCTTTAAGATTCAAAGAAATGAATCACTGATGGGGCCACTTCAGGCACAGGTTGGGAGGTATTTTGGAACAAGGGAAGGTTTTCTTTTAAATTAGAAGTTCTCAAACTTTTTGGTGTTAGGATCCCTCTATACATTTAAAAGCTCCTCCCCCTCCAAAAAAAAAAGCTTTTGTTTATGTGGGTTACATCTATAGATATTTACCACAGTAAAAGTTAATCTGTCCCAATATTAATATAAAAATAGTTTTGACCTTGTAGACCCCCTAAAAGGATCACAGGGACCCCCAGAGACCTCTGAACCACATTTTGAGAATCAGTGCTAAATAGTCCATGTAGACAGTCGTTTTATTAGTATAGTCAGCATCCCTCCCCACTTCATCTCCTTTTTCTTGGGCATATGAGCTGGGACAAGCTCCTTTGTATCTCTGAGTCTCAGTTTTCTCTCCTGTATTATGGAAATAATAAACCAAATCCCAATTGGGAAAGTCAAGGAAGAAAATGACAGTGAGTCATTTTTCCAGCCCAGGACAGCACAGGGAGACAGACAGAGAGATCT